CCCAGACTCCCCACAGCAAGGCCCTGGCCTCTTTCTGCGTCGACAAAGTCGACCTCAGGCCCTCCTGAAACCACAAGCTCCAGGCAGAGGCCCGCTGGTGACTCGTCTGGAAAAGAATCCCAACAAGATTTGTCATCTTGGTACTCTCTCCAGCCAGGCGGCTGTCCCAGAAGTCGAAAGTGAGTTTGTCAGAATCAGGGTGTGCTTTTCTGCTGACCAAGCGATCTGCCACCACACGGAAGTCCCGAGATGTCAGCTCCTCTGCTGGTCCCTGACCGTCACACTGTGCTCTTGGCTGCTGCCTTAAGCTTGTGTTTTCAGAAGTCCGTTCTCAGGAAGCAGAGCGAAGCAGAGCGCAGGCACCGTATTCACTGAAGGTGTGTGGGGGTGGGGGCGGGGTTAGTGCCCACTCAGGTGGCTTCATGCATCAGTGCATGCACCAGAGACGTCTCCACGCCCTGCCCAGCAGCCGAGGGTCAGGGAGCTCTGATGTGGCCACAGATGGTATTTGTGCAGGAGTGTGCATCCCGGGGCTCACACCCTCGTCCCAGCTTTTCCATTTTGGTTGTAGACATATTTCTGTGTGTGTGTGTGGGACTAGAGCTGTCCACACTGCTAAGCTTTCGCTTGCATGACCTTTAGTGGGCAAAAAGTAAACCCTCATTTCAACAATGACATTAAGAATGTGTAAAATAAAATGCAGGCCACTTCAATAAGCGGCCTCTCATTCTTTGCTGTGGGGAGAGACTTTTGTCCTGTGCCTGTAGCAGGTGCACCCTCATCCATCATGCTCAGAGGGCACTCAGGGTAGGTACAGCCTGTGCTCACCGCTGTCACCTGGACTTCAGTCCCCTGGAGACAACCTAGTGGGCAGAAGGGTGGGGGCCCTGAATTCTCTTCAGCCGGTACAATAGTGGGCAACCGTGAGAAATGTGCATGTTCAACAACACAGAAAATATCAGCCCATCTATGTGTTCATCCCATAGATGTTTCTTGTTCGTGCACCTGTTCTGGGCTGTGCACTGTGCTAAGCACTTGATTATGTCAGAGAACAGAAGAGGGACCCCTCCCCTTGGGGGCCCGATATTCAGATGGGAGAGGCAGACAATAAATAACAAACGCGAGTTACTTATTGATTGAATTAGGGGACCGATGGAAACTTAAGAAGTAGAACATAGTGAGGTGCTAGAGGGGAGGGGAGGGGGTAGTCAGTGTACGTGTGGTAGGGCTGGCGAACACGTCTCTGGGCCTGAACATTCTTTAGGTTTATAATAATGATGCAAACGGTAACATGAATTGCCAACATTTTCCACATCTGACTCGGTGCTAGGCACGGGGCCAGGGACTGACTTGGATATCTCATTCAGTCTGCAAGGCCGCCCGATTCTTCCAACCTCCAAGGCAGAAGGCCAGCCCTTGGTTCTTGCCGTTGGCCTCCTCCATCTTCATGCTGCATCTCTGCAGCAGAACTTACTCCAGAAATTCTGGTTTTCATTAAATCTCACCTTTAGTGGGTGTCCCTACAAAGCCCAGCCCACTGTGTGCATCCGTTAAATTCCATGATGACGCTGGGTGTCCTTGTAGATTCAGGTGCCAGTAGCAGGACTTGCCACCAAATAGCTGAGGATGAAAAAGCAACGGGAGGGAGACTTGTGGTATGTGTGTCGCTCAGAGGCCACGCACTGCCCGCGACCCTCTGCCAAAGACACCAGCCCCCGGCCTGGCCCGTTGCCGTTGATTGCTCCATTAACCTTGCATTGAGGACACGGTTCAGGCTGATTGCTGATGGACTCTCTGTTTCAGTCGCTTCCTTTTTTATACCTGATGGGGGACTTTTGGGTTGATGGGGACCTCCATTGTCCTGTCAGCCAGGCTTTTCCCCACCGCCCCCCCACCCCCCACCCAGGAGCTCCTGTGGGAGAATCCTGTCTTACAGTCCTGTGGCGTTCCTCAGGCCTGAGGCATCACGGCCAAGCCGGGGCTGCCAAATGCTTCCTGATAAGGCATCAGCTTCAACGTGACTGGGGACTTGGAGTTGCAGAAAAGTCCTGTTGTCACGGGCCCTCTGTTGGCTACAGGGAAGTCGCTCACTTTCTGTAACTTTTGTTCATTTGCCTGCTCTGCCCCTGGGGCTAGAAGAGAAGAATAGGAGAAAAACTTGATAAGAGGTCAATGGTAAGCCATAGCCACAGCCATAATTTGGGCTAAAGGAAAAGGGTTCTCAAATATAACACAGCTTTCACAGAGGATGCCTTCTGCGAATGAATGAGTGAGTAGAAAAACTGAATCCAAAACTTGGAGACAGATTCTGTGAGTGGTGTTAAGTCAGAAGGAAGTCAGGGCTTCAGATAACACACACCAATTCCTGGAACCCAGAGATTTGCTTTTTCTTTGTGCAGGAGCTTTTGTCACTTTCTATTCCACTTTCTGTTCTGCTCCTCCCAGACTTGCCTCCCTGCCCCCAGGTGCTCCTCCACCCCGCACACTGCCCAGAGCTTCCTTCCCCACCACACCCTGTTAGCCTGGCATTGCTGCGTTCTCTGAACGTCTCCGGGCTCCCACCACCTGCGACTCAAGGTCATTAAGCTTACCTGGCTGCCAGCCACACAGCCTTGAACATGCCTCCGCTCTCTCCTGCAGCCCTGTCTTTCTGCCTCTTCCTCTACTTCAGTCAGACAGTTGCCTCTAGGGTGGTCTGTCCCTCAGACGTCACTTGTGCGTGTCCCCACCCACTTCTGCCTTGTGTCTGTCTGCATTGCCCTCTCCGAGGAGGTCTCGCATGGTTCTCATGACCCCAGCGACACTCACTGTTCCCTTCTTCACTAACCTCCAGCAGCTTACCGCCTCCGCCACTCCTCGGCTCTGTTACCCACAGTTCCTCACAATCTTGGTTATCTTCTCATAGTTCAGTGCAAGGACAGAGAACGTGCCCCATTACTTTGTATCCACTGTGGCCAAGCACACCACACAGTGCAGAAGCCCCTCTGAAATAAAGGACTGGAGGCCTATCCGGCACCCCCGCCACAGCAGAATCCTTGAAGGACTCGCCTTTCCTGCGGCTCATACCAGCACGGCATACACTCTGCAGACCCCTACAAGACCGTCCAGAACGTGCCTACCAGGCCCGACAACCTCATTCCGAGCTTGTAAACAAGTTGGGCTTTTTGTTTGTTTTTGTTTTATTCTGTTTTTAAGCAAGCAGGGGCATCTATTTGCAAGAGGAATCGTCGGGGGGAAAAGTCAAATAAAAATAAAAACAGACCCCTTAAATGAGTTGAGCTGTGTCTCTCTCATCCTTCTTCCCTTCTCTCTCACCACCGCTGCCCCCCACCCCCTCACTTTCTGCTTGCTTTTCATGCCAGTTGCTAAATACTGTAATTTAAACACTGTACCGGCTTTCCCAGAGCCAGGAGGAACGTGCATTCACATGTGGTTTTTTCCATAAGAAAACCGTCCCTGTCTCTGGGTTCTTCTTAGCCAGAAACAGTGAGCAAACACACAGTCAGAGGAGCCCATCCGTCTTTGCAGTTTTCACTGTAATTCGCTGGAGGCTCGGGAAGGGTCAAGGGGGATGGTCTGTGTTTCACCCCGTCAGCCTGTTTGATGAGGTCTGTGCTCCATTTGTTCAGATGGCTTTCATGGTGTCTTTGTTGGTGGTGGAAAGACTTTGAAAGTCATCATTCTGCATCCTTAGCTCTTCGGCCATTCCTGCACAGTGTCCCAGCCACGAGGGAGGAAAAGGGCAAGTGCCCAGCCAGTTAGTGAAGACAGTTCTGAACACAGTGATGGAGGCACGTGGATTTTATTCAAGAAAGAGGTTGGGATCGCAAATGTTCAGGTTCCATGGAAGAGTTTCCATGGCAATCTGGAAGCGAGGCTTTAGTCACATTCAGGCAGGCGGCATCTCTCCGCATTTCCTGCTCCAGCCCCCTTTCCAGCCACACCGCCGGCCTTCTTCCTTTCTCCATGGCCATCAAGCCCAGCCTTCTCTACCCTCAGCAGAAACGCATGAGGCTCTAGGAGAGCCTGGCATGTGCTCTGAGGCCTCACCCACACCACCCGTGTGCTGAAGGGCGGGGTGGAGTTGGCCACCCGACACGCCACGAGTGGGCTTTGAGATGTTCTCCTCATGGAGTCTTGAATCTGGACACTCCCCGTCTCTTCAGAGTTACTATGGACAATTTTCCCTTCTAAACTCGCATTAGTTTATATTTGTAGGAAGCTTTAGAAGATGTCTCACACATGTTATAACATTTGATCGTCACCTGCCTTAGTCCGTTGGGGCTGCTCTAACAAAGTACCATAGATGGAGAGGTTTATAAACAACAGAAATTTATTTCCCACGTACCTGGAGGCTGGAAGTCTGAGATCGGAGTGCCGGCACCATCAGATTTTGGCAAGGGCCCTCTTTGGCATTGCAGACCGATGACCTCCTGTGGTGTCCTCACATGGGAGGGAGAGGGCCCGCCAGCTCCACAGCCTCTTCTCTGCAGGCCACTAATCCCATTATCCCTCAGGGCCCCACCCTTGTAACCTAATCACCTCCCAAAGACCCCACCCCTGATACCAACACACTGGGTTTAGGAATCAACACAGGAATTTGGGGGTGGGGGTGGAACACAGATATTCAGTTCAACCCTATAAGGTCAGTAAATCGAGTAAATTTTTGTTTTCATATTAAAGAAGGTTGAATGCAGGAATATCTTATGAGCCATCCAAGGTCTCACAACAAGTAATGCCAGGGACCGAATTTGAACCAATCCTCTGACCTCCCATTCAGGGTTCTTCTGGTTGCTTCCGCTCCCAGCCAGGATGGTCCCATTCCTTCTACCCAGCCCACTGCACCCCAGGGCAAGAGCGCACTTCCGGAACTTAGTGATGCCTATACAGTAGCTGCTGAATTCACGCTAATCTCTCCTGACTGCTGAAAGATCGTCTTCACGCAATGTTTGTGCAAAGCAGGAGATGCTGATGTCCGACTCTTTGCTGTTTTTCACTAGACCCTTCTTACGACTCGGTCAGGAGAGGAGGATGGGGCAGTAACATGAATTCCGGCCTCAACAAAAGTAAGTAAATGTCACTCTACCTTTGGGAGGAAAACATTTTTCCAAGGGCAGGGTGGAGAGCAAGGTCATGAGATTTTTAAAAAAAAGGATAGGAGCAAGCGTTTGTTGTCCTGTTTTTTGAGCGGACTTCAAAACCAATTGTCAATTTAGGGCCTGTCGGTGATACTGGTTCTTTGAAAACAGAGTTTTGTTCAGACCTTTGAGTTTCGTTTATTGCTTTTGGTTTTAGAATTGTTGAAGGCAGAAGGTTTCTCAGGACAAGGGTCAGCCTGAGAGGTCACTGGATTTGGATTTAAGTGATGATGGTGGCCCTCTATGACTTTGCTCCTCAAACTGTCACAGCTTAGTCACATCGATGTCACTATCCCCGTTTCATGAAAGGCTGAGACGGAGGATAACCTGATGAGGAGATGGCAGGGGTCTGAGATATCAATTTGCGTTGAAGTCTGACCTACAATCTCCCACCAAGGGAAGGGGGAAAGAATATGACTCAAGCTCCTGAACCACAAACGTGTCCATCTTGCTAGGTCCAGGAAGTAAAATATCAAGCACATGAATGGATGTTGAAGGGAATTCTTTCGAGAAGGAGGTTGGGATTATAAATGTATGTCCCACAATAATGAGGATTCCTTTCAATAATATATATGAATTATTTGTTCACTATGTGCCCAGAATCTGGCACTTGGGGTTCACAGTGATGAGTCAGGCACACACCCACAGGGGAGAGAGACTATCACACCTCACTCTGCACACGTCACCCTTTATCCTGGTGATTCCAGGAGGGCCCTCGGGACCTGGGGCCATTTGAGTTGGCAGCAGAGAGAGAAATAGGATTTGGACCTGCAGGGATAGGGCAGACAGACCCTCCTAGAAGTGGGTGCCATGGAAAGACCTCAAGGTGTGACAATTAGTGAGGACTCCGGGTTCCTGGAGTTTAGGGAGTGTGAAAGGGAAGTAGTCTGGAGAGGTAAGGAAGGGGCCATAAAGGACGCTATGAAGATAGACCTTCATTCTGTAGTAAACGAGGAATTACTAAGGTTTTTGGACGCTGGAGTGACATGATTAAGCTGGCTGAACAGTACATGACAGGTCAGAGGGGAGGGAGGGGAGTGGTGAGGGTACCAGGCAGACTAAGCCCTAGGCCGGGCAACGACAACAAAGACGCAGACCTAAGGTGGGGGCGCTGTGGCAGCAGCGGAGGGAAGCTCATGAAACATGGAAACACGAAAAGCAGGCAACCTTCACTCAAGTGCCTTCCCATGGGTCACTTTCCCACGAAGGGCCTCTCTGAATTCTCTGTTTAAAAGTGCAATCCACAGCCCCAGTGCCACTGGACGTGCTATACCATGTGTTTATTGTTGTCCATCACTGTCTGCACCGTTCATGTGTAAGTCGTGCTGGGAGCCGCTGGTTCATTGCTGACTCTCTAGCATCAGGAGCAGCACCAGCATGCAGTAGATTCCAGATATTCACAGAATAAAATGAATGAATAAGTGCATACAGAGTGAGCGAGTGAATGAATGAGACCGCACATTTCTCCCCCTTGGGAGGGCGTTTGACAGGATGTTTCTCTCCCCTCGTGGGGCGTGGCCCCGCTGACCGTGTTTCTTCTCTCTCCGCAGGCCCTCCCCTTGCAGGAGCACAGACAATGAGTAAGAATGCTGAACAACGGCCCCAACCAGGTACCTGTCCGTGGGGTGCGCGGTTCCTTTTCTGCTTCTTAGGCAGCCACCAATTCCACTTAATCAACTGAAGGGGGTCTAAACAACAGGCTGCGTTTGCCACCCCCTTTCCAGTGAGGGCCTCCAGCTGGCTCTCCGTGAGAGATCTGTGGATCAAGTAACAGGCACTGGAGCCAGGTGGTTAAATATCAGAAGTGAAAGGAATATTAAAGATGAAATGTCCCAATGCTTCATTTTGTAAAATAAAGAAACTGAGGCCCAGAGAGGCGAAGTGATTTGCTAAAAGCCACACAGCTAATTTATGAGAGCTGTCACACCCCCAAGGGTGCTCCAAGCCTTTTTATGTCAGTTTCACCATGCTTAGTTTCAGAAATACCTTCATCCTGTGATGGATCTACTTAACAATGTAGGCAGGGGAACTTTCAACACCATGGAATTGGAGGCTTTTACTATTAGGAAGGATAGAGACATCCAGGTCCGTAAATCCTTCTGCAACATCTCAGCCTTATGATTACCCCATTGCTACTTGAATATTTACAGCAACAGGGAGTTCACTACCTAGCTGGGCTCACTTCCACTGTTCCATCCAAAGTCCCCTCCCTATAACTTCCAGTCACGCTTCCCAGTTCACCCTCTGGAGAGATGTCCCCCCACTCCATGTAAAGAGCTTTCAGATAACTGAAGGCGCCCTTGGGCCCACCCCCGAGGCCAGCTGTGTCTTCTTTACATGACCCAGCTGAGATTAGTTCTGAACAAGCCATTTGCTTTAGGGTGGACAAACACTGTTTTCCATCTCCACTGAAGAGACAGCAATGAGAGAACTGACTCAGAAGGCATCAGGAAATTTTAGAAACACAAGACAGCATTGACTTCACATAAAGGATTTAATGAGTCCCCAACAACAACAGAAGCAAGTGTGACCCAGACAAAACATTTTTGTTGTCATACTATGTGGATGAAAGGGGTGGACTAAATGGCCTTACAGACTCTTCGAGTTAACTTAAAGCTCTAAGTAGAAACCCATAAATCATGTTGAGTTAAAAAAATTGCAATTATAACTATAAAAAGCATAAAATGGTACCAAAGCTTTGACAACGCGGCCAAGTTGTGATCCAGCTCTCTACCATGATCTATCCCCCCCCCCAAAAGAAGGCAAACCTCATATAAAACCAATATTGCAAAGGTTTTTTTTATAGCTAAATAATCACATAAATTTTAAGTAAACGGAGACATCAAGAATAGTCATTTTACAGTTAAAATACAGATCCTGGTTAGTGTTGACATTCCCAAGCTGAAAATCACAGAATGCTGTCCCAGGGAGCTGAGGAATCCAGCCGCCCAACCCGCTCATTTTGCAGATGAGAAAACTAATACTCAGAGACTGTCCAGTGAGTTTAGTTTGTAGCATAGCCGCCTCCAGAAATCAGGCTGCTCCACTTCCAGGCAGGTATGGTTCATGCTGCCTTGGACAAGCAGAGGTGTGTAAAGTTGTCAGTATTGGGTAGACCTATGAAAGACCAGTCATCATTAGATCTTCTTTAAGCCCGCTTAATAAACCATGTGTACCTTATTCGTTGTGATTAAATATTAGCCAGCCCCTGTGCAAATGGTTTCATTGCTCTGTTTTAGATAAGAACAGCATTATCTACAAATTTTAGACACCAAATAGGAAAAAAAGTAATGCTGTTACTATTCCACGTTGTTTTGATAAATACTGGGATGAACCATAACTCTGATCAAGATCTTCGGGGCCTGCAAATACAAACAGTCGAGTTCTCTGAAAGGAGGCTTTCCTGCAATATTTAAGTAAAAGCATAAACCTTTGGGGTATTCTTATTGTTAATGCTGTTGTTTTATATTTTTAATAACAGTAAAGCAAATTCCCTTTTTTGTTTTCTTAGATCCCTATCAGATCCTGGGCCCAACCAGCAGTCGCCTAGCCAACCCCGGTGAGTTGACTTTGGCCTACAAGATTTTCTTTCCAGAATGTTCAATAGCTTTGTGAGGTCACAGAGACCTCTGTCCTAAGTCCAGACACTTGACTGGGTGTAACATGTACTGTTTTCCTGAAAATATTCAACCCTTGTTTCTGCAGTGTGCAAATGAGAGGTCAGGGTGGGTTAGTTGGTGGCAGCGATGTGTTTGGTGGGAAACAAATGTTTTCACACCTGCACTGCGGTTGAGATTAGTCATAAGTGGCACAGGCAGAAGTTCCAGGAGGGAAGGATGGGGATTAGGGGGGAGGAAACAGTCCCAGTGGGTCTCGTTTATCTGCCCCATGCAAGGCACGAGTGAATAAATATCCCAAATGTGTTTTCTTCTTGATTTGAGAAAGCATTGCCCAGCTCTCTGGCCTTATGAACGAGGTATAGCCCTGAAAACTTGCAGAGAAAAGACATTTGACCACGCATTTGAAAGGTTTATTATCAAAAATCACTCTAAAGTGAGTTCTAAGTCAAGATCCCCTCGTGCAAGCTAGCAGGCCCCTGTGTGAGAGGAGGCCCCAGGGAACCTAAACTGCCCTGGGTTCAGGCCCATTCTTTAGTGCCTGGCCATTCCTGCCCAGAGAAAAAAAAGGCCACCCAGCGCCCACCCCTGTTATTCTTCTCTGGGCCCAAGTTCTTGCCTGTAGCACTTAGAGCTGGGATCCGAGCGCCTGGCCTCTGCTCAGGAGCACGGCAGGGCCGGTCCGCGGGAAGCCTGGGCCAGCCCTTCTCCCCGTGACTCTGACGGCAGTCTCCGGGCTCAGACCCCTTTCACTGACAGGGAACAACACCTTGGGGGACGCCATCACAAAGCAGAGATGGACAGTGAGTCGGGCCTTTACAGAAGAAGAAAATTCAAGCCTCTGGCCAAAAGCAGTGGCTGTGGCTATGGCTCACCCCAAATCACACAGCTAGCTCTGGGCAAGGCAGCACTTCATTACCCACAGTGCATTGCAGCAGGCCTTGGGGCAAACTATTTTTAAGATCAAACTATGCTTAGAGTGCCAACCTCAGTGGCAAACAGAAAAGGAAGTCAGCAATGAGAGAAGGGGCTGCCAAGCAGATTCCCAGCGTAAAAGAAAATAAAGGGTTTCTTACAGAGGCCGAGAGAATCCTTGCACTTAGGGGACTGGATTCTGACTTCCCCGGCTGAAATATTCTGTGTTCTCCCGTCTCACCCCCTGCAGGAAGCGGGCAGATCCAGCTGTGGCAGTTCCTCCTCGAGCTACTCTCCGATAGCGCCAACGCCAGCTGCATCACCTGGGAGGGGACCAACGGGGAGTTCAAAATGACGGACCCCGATGAGGTGGCCAGGCGCTGGGGGGAGCGGAAAAGCAAGCCCAACATGAATTACGACAAGCTGAGCCGGGCCCTCCGATACTACTATGATAAAAACATTATGACCAAAGTGCATGGCAAAAGGTATGCCTACAAATTTGACTTCCACGGCATCGCCCAGGCTCTGCAGCCCCACCCAACCGAGTCGCCCATGTACAAGTACACTTCTGATATCCCCTACATGCCCTCCTACCACGCCCATCAACAGAAGGTGAACTTTGTCCCTCCCCATCCATCCTCCATGCCCGTCACTTCCTCCAGCTTCTTCGGAGCAGCCTCACAATACTGGACCTCCCCCACGGGTGGAATCTACCCCAACCCCAATGTCCCCCGCCATCCTAACACCCACGTGCCCTCACACTTAGGCAGCTACTACTAGAAGCTTAACCATCCGTGGTCTCCATCCACTCTGAAGCCTCATCCCCTACACTTCCTGGAATACTTTGGACTGGCAGGACTTTGAAGACAAAACGAAACTGGATGTTCTTTCTTGTTGAATAGAACCTTTGTATTTGTTCTTTAAGAAAACAACCCTTTCTTTTTAAATGTTGGTAACTTTGGCTTCATCTACCTTGAACAAAGAAAAGGATAATTCTCTGGGCCAGCGAGGCCAGTTTGGATTCTCAATCTCCTCTCATCTTATGTGTTGAATACTTAGATTACTGGAATGGTTGTATCATGGTTCTGTGAGAGAAACTGTACATTTCCTTTATACTTTTATGACCAAAGCAGTTTCTTATCAACACACGGGTCTTATCATGGACTTCGTAGGGCCATGACAGTATGAGAAAGAATCGTAACTCAACCAGTTAGGCTCTGGTTTGAGACTTTGGGGAACTAAAAACAGGCAGTCTATGATCTTGTTTTGGGAGCACCTAATTCAGTGGATGGCAACTGGAACATTGGTTGTAAGGCCAGTGAAGTTTTCAGCCAACTGGAATTTAGAAGAAAATCTCATGTGTGTATACTTAAGGGACCAAGAGCATCGCAAAATTCCTCTGGGTGGGCAATGTGTAAGAAGCTGATCATTCTCTCTAGAAATAGTCAAGATATGAACTAAGATATGTTAATGCAAGTGCAGACACTCCTGACGGACAGAGAGCTAAATAACTGTCTTTTGTTTTTGTTTTTAAGTAACGACAATGGGTCCCAGAACTTTGAGAAGTCTTAGGGATTTCCAATCACAAACAGATCCGCAAGCGCTGTGCGCTTGTCAGAGCATCGGTCCAGGGTCACCCAATCCGGAGGCAACTTACTGTATAAATTATGCAGAGTTATTTTCCTATATCTCACAGTATTAAAAGTAAATAATTAAAAAGTTAAAAAGAATAAATAAACGAGTTGACCTCGGTCACAAATACAATGTTGCTATCAAATCAGTCGTTGTTATTTTTTTAAATGTAATTTGTACATCTTTTGTCAATCTGTACATTTGTGCTGTTTGTACGTTTTTATAGCTGGGTTTTAATGCATAATGTGACTTTGCTGCCTAGAAAACAGGATGTTGATGTTGCTGACTTACTAGAACGAGAAGCACTGGTGAAGATATTTAACGGAGCATGGATGAGTGAGCAGGGTGATCCATTTAAACCCTTGCGCTTTTGGAGGCGTGTGTACATAACATACTGCAGTCACCACAACTTTGAAAAGAGCAAGCAAACCTTCTCTTGTGGATACAAGGGATGTTCCTGCCCCATATATGCAATATATTTTTAGATATTAAAGTATATATAATTTTACAGGTAACCATTGACCTTTTTAAACTATATTAAGTGTTAAGCTGACAACTGTCACTGAAGACTCTGTTGTGAAATAACTTGACTCAATAAATCGTGCCTTCTTCTCTCAGAGCCGAGGACGTCGTTGTCTTCTTTACCCCTCCGATAGGTCAAGGGGTCTTCCTAGGGGAAGGTCCCTATTTACCTCTTGCACCATGAAGAATTTTTCAGAGGTACAAACTGCATGTCAGTAGAAAGTAAAAAAAAAAAAAATGTGGTTTTGAGTGTTGTTTGTATTAGTCAGGGTTCTCCAGGGAAACAGAACCAGTAGGAGATTAGATATAAATAGAGGTATATAGATGTCTATATAGATGCATATGTAAAGAGATGCATATATATAATGTCTATACAGATATATACATGGATGCATATGTATAGAGATGCATATATAAATATGTGTGTGTATGTGTGTGTGTGTGTGTGTGTGGCGAGAGAGAGAGAGAGCTTGACTGATTATGAGAAATTAAACCCACATGACTGTGGGCTCAGAAGTCCCACGGGCTGCCATGTGCCGGCTGGAAACTCAGGAAAGCCAGGCCTGTAGTTCTAGTCCAAACCTAAAGCCCTGAGGACCAGGAGAGCTGAAGGTGTAAATCCCAATCCAAGGGCAGCAAATGAGAAGTGTCCCAGCTCCAGCCGGCAGGCAGGAAATGTAGGGTGAATTCCTCCTTCTTTGGCCTTTTTGTTCTATTCAGTGCCACAGATTGGCTGGTGCACCAGGGAACACGGTCTGCTTCACTAAACCCACCCATGCAAAGGCTAACTCATCCAACATCTCACGCACATGTATACCCAGAAATGACGTTTAATTTGGGAATCTGGTGGCCCAGTCAACTTCATGCTTAAAATTAACCTTCACGTTGTTGATGATGTTTGCAGAGATTTCTTCCTAATGTTATTTAAATTTCCCTCTAGCCTAAAAGAGTTTTATAGGATGATGGTCAAGGCTGCAGACAATCTGTGTCTAAGAACCAGGACAAAACCCACAGGTTGGTCCACCATGGATCTTGCCCACCAGACTTCCTTCTGCTTCATCCTCAAACCCAAGTGGCCACCCTTCTGATACTCCGACAAAGAACACAATGGCCCAGCCTCTTCCGACCCCGTGTCAGGATTTGATCGTCCAGGCAGATTTGTAAGGTCTCTTTTTCTTCCCAAGGAAGGAACTTTCTTCAAAGTGCTTCACAGTTAGGTAGCTTGTTTTCAATTTCTCTATTTTATAATGAAAAAGCATGAGGCCTGGAAAGTCACTGATGTTGTGAGGAATGAGGCTTAGAGCATAGGTAACCCTATAACCTTCCCTGGTAACCCTGGGTGCCTTCTAGACAACATGTCTGCCTAAATAAAATGAGGCATGCTCCTGGTGGTCCGATTTTTTTCAACTTGCACCCTGCCACTAACAAACGTGTTAAGCACTATTCTTAATACCTGCACATTGATTTATAAATCATACACACAAACCATTGGATTATTATTAATATTATAAAAACAAACACAAAATAGAAAATTTTAGAGAGCAGTGTAAAAATAAATTGAAACTGAAATTCTCATGGCTTCTTCTACTTCCTTTGTCTTGCACGGCCTGCTGCCGAGACTCCACAAGGAAGTCAGTCTTCAGAGGGAGGGTGTGTTCGTGTGCATCTGCAGGCTTTTCCCTGTGACTTCTAAGAAAGGAGAAAATAAAACTTGTGATTAGCAGCCCAAGCACAGAAAGAGAAATGATGAAGGCCAGGTATGTTTAAGAAGAGTTTGGCTGCAGTCTTTTGAAAATCTCTACCTCAGCCAGACAACTTTGCCATCAGTCCCGAGGTTTGTGAAGGATTCCTTAGGGACAATGGAGGCACATAAAGGATGCTCAGACCGCGGGGACTTCTCCATGGGAAGAAGGGTTTTTTAGATGCCCTTTTGAACCTAAAAATAAAAAGGCTCTTCAAAGTGAGAAGTAATAGCATTTATGGAGATCAATAAGAGGAACTATACTGGAAGCACTATTTTGGAAAGAATCACAGCTAATGTTCCAGTTACAAGACACAGGCAATGGGTATTTACAAGAAAGGGAAGGGGAACAATTACATCAATAGACAGAAAGTATTTCTATTGGTTCAGACACCATAACATAGTGATGCTAATTCTAAACAATGTTTTTAATTTTCAATCCAGGAGCCATCAGACCGTTCATCATAATAACTGCTTTTTTGTTATCTTTGCAAACAGCTTCTAGGGAAACAGGTGGCTGAGGCCCAGGCCAAAGGTTATTTTGCCCTGTTTTAACATTCCAAAGACTTGAGGCATAAGGCATGAAAGGCAGTTCTCTGGTGTGGCAGCGCCGGCTCCATTTTAAAGGGGCTCCATTTATATTATCGTTCCGGGGCTGTCCAACTTTTTGGCGTCCTCGGCCACACTGGAAGAAGAAGGGCTGTCTTGGGTCACACATTAAATACCTTGCGACATGTAATCACACGCACACAAAAATCTCATAATGTTTTAAGTAAATTTACGATTTTGTGTTGGGCCGCATTCATAGGCATCCTGGGTCGCATGTGACCACAGGCCGTGGGTTGGATGCCCCTGGAACTCTACACCCTATTCAAATACTGACTTATGTTCACCACCGTTATCAAGTCTTAGGACTTTGACCAAATCTTGCCCCTTAGACTTGCTCCCCAGTGACCTATTCCACATATAAGAAGCTCTTCCACTCACTAACAGGACCAGGACACCATTCTTTCCTTAAGTGCATGTGTGTGGAGGGAGGGCCGGCGTTGATTCCCCTGTAGTGCCCAGCTTTAAGGTTTACTGGCTTGCTCAAGGGCATCCAGCTGGCTAGACGTAGAAGACAAGCAGGATCTTTGCCTCCTGGCTTCTAGTTCAGTATTTTCCCCACTCGACCATTCTGCACCTTTGCCATGAGGTTTATTCATTCTAACGAGCAGCGTGAGCCAGGAAGAGAGACGCGTGGCACAGCTGTGAGCCGTTCTACTGGAAAGCAATCATCCCCACAGTTTAGGATGCTGGCCAATAGCCCTTTGAGCAGGAGGTTATACATCTTTAGTGTCAAAAAGTGTTGTTGACTCCCAGGCGAAGGAAGCTATATTTTCAATATCTGCTGTTTTGCAACATCTTTAATGGTTAATGACCACCAGAATTTTAACAACACCTAAAATGATCATTACTTTATTTAACCAATAATATCTCCATGGAATTGAACAATAAATGTGTATGATGTTTACTTAGACCGTGGGCAATGTGCATGCAGCGTGGGCCCCCAGATGGGGTGTGTCTGGTTTAGACCAAGTGAGATCAGAAGGTTCCAGAACACCAGGGCAGAAGGGAACCTCTGTCTATCCTCTGCTGAGGAGGCACTGCCAGGCCAAGGCCACGGTTGATGAGGAAATGAAACACAAAGCAAAACAAAACAAAACAAAACAAAACAAAACAAAACAAAACTCAGCGCTTTCCGTAAGTTGTCCATGAACTCGGTTTCACACTCCACCTCCTCCGATACCTATTCATGTAAACGTTGCCTTAAAAACTATTGACAAGGCACCACTCTGAGAAGCAGCCCCAGAGCCTGGCCGCCCCGCTCCCACACCGAGCTGGGGACCTGCGGCCCGGAGGCTCCTCTACTGTTAACAGCAGTGCTGGGCTGTGTCCAGCCCCCCTCGGGAGGAGGCAGTAAAATGGTGCTTAGCATCAATGGGAGAGAGAGGGGAGGTAATAAAGAACCTGAATGGGGGACCAGGGGATTGGGCTCTCGTGAATAAACAGAGGCTTCAACTCACATCCAGGAAGAACTCTGTGTTTTGCAAAAAAGCACCCTGGACACTTCATCATATAGAAAGCTACTGAAGCTGACAGGCACTCCTCCAGCCAGGGAGTCAGCCGGAGGATAATGAAAGGTCGTCTGATTTCAAGACTACAAATCCCAGGCTCCCGTGGGGCCAGACCCTTCTGAGAGGAAGTGGGTTAGCCAGCCAAACCTCTAGGGTTTCAGCCAATTGAGCAAGGATATGAAGGGAAGCTTTTGAAAGGAATGTCTGCGCACAAGCCTGGGGTCTGTCTCCCTCTCACTCTTACTTGGCCTCCTGTCTAATTGTTTCAGTCTGTCTGAGCTGGTAAATTCCTAAGCACATAGTCAATTTACACTTAGCTTAAAAGCTCTAAGGGGAAACAGAAAAGTTTCCAGTGAGACCACTCACTTGCCTGCAATTGCTGAAAAACTAACCTTCAGATTTTAACTGAGTTACCTCATGTGTTTTCTTAGTGGGACGAGAGGCAATTTAGGTAGATAAACTTAGGTAGATAAACGAGCAAGGATGTTAATGCCAGAAGACCTTGGTTTCAATCCTGACCCTTCCACCTACTGGGCAGCTTCTCTGCATCTATGAACTGGGGAGCAGAGCAATAAATATCTCCTGCAAGAGTTGCTTCGGGGTATTAGATGACACTTGTGGAAACCCCTTTATAAAATGACTGTACAGGAAGTATATATATAATCACCATTATCTGTCGGTATTTGCTAGGTTTTTTCCAAGAACGTTTATTAAGCCCTTGTTAACTGGTGAGCACTCTTGACTGGAGAGCTGAGTACAGTGTAGATTTTGTTTTGTGGTCAGAAAGGCACTTTCCAAATGAGTGAAAAGTGGGAGTAATTGGATTTTCCAGAGAGCCATTGCGTTTCCCCAGCCCCACCGTGCCCCTCCTGGCCGCTGCCCTTCACTGGGGCCGGGGGCACCTCAAGTCCACAGAACATGCTGCCAAGCTTCAGGATGCTACAAGTACAATAGGAGTGTTATGAAGGAATGCTCAAAATGTACTTTGTCAGAAGTGCTGCGCTGGAATTTTTTCAATCCACTGAGAAACAGAGGTCTGGAGCTGGGATTTTATGCTTAGTAAGCTTAGATCAGGGTTTCGGGGCTTTTGGCATACCCAGAGCAGCTGGTAAGTGCCCTGAGAGAAGACATTCTATTTGTTTTGGGCACCTCAGGAGGCAGTGCACAGTAGTGGGTCAGTAAAACAAATGCGACATGAATATGCAACACGCAGGGATGGAGTCAGAGAGGCCTGGCTCC